TTACAGAATGCTCTGGATTCCGCGCGTCAGGCCTTATGGTGCCCTTGGAAGACGCTCCACACACACTTAAGTGGCGGCCGGAAAACAATGCCTCGTTGACACTTCGAGGCCCGGGGCTGCCGTGGGTCGGGGAGAAGCTGAGCGCGTCCCGTGACACCTGGCATGGCATCTTCACAACAGGTTCTCGTGAGTCCTTTTGTTTTCGGTTTTTCGTAATCCTTCACCAATGCTTGATGTATTTTAATCTAATTCGAATGAAGTCAAATGAGTCTGATCTTAATCTGCGTCCGTGAAGAGAAGAAAGATAAAAAAAAGTTATATTTTGGGATATGTAGTCATGTTGAAGTCTGTAAGGATGCTACAAACTTTATTCTCATCGATAATCCCAGAACTTTCCTGGCAATAACTTCTCGAAAATTCTCGTCCGTGAAGAGAAGAAAGATAAAAAAGAGTTATAGTTTGGGATATGTAGTCATGTGGGTCTGTAAGGATGCTACAAACTTTATTCTCATCGATAATCCCAGAACTTTCCTGACAATGACTTCTCGAAAATTCTCGTCTGTGAAGAGAAGAAAAATAAAAAAGAGTTATAGTTTGGGATATGTAGTCATGTGGAAGTCTGTAAGGATGCTACAAACTTTATTCTCATCGATAATCCCAGAACTTTCCTGGCAATAACTTCTCGAAAATTCCTGCAGTATCTCACTCTGCAGAAACTCCTGTATACAGATCTTTTCGTGATCTGTTCGTGTCCTTCTTCCTCCATTTAGTAATCAGTGAAGTGTTAGTGTGTGTCCGTTTTTTTGGAATTAAGGTGGCTGTGTTGAACTGATTGTCTAATGTATAAAAGTCATTTTAATATATTCGATCGCTGAAGGTATGTCAGAGCATGTTTCCTAAATAGATTTATTTTTCAAATAGACCAGTACATTAGAAATGAGATATTTAATATAATATCCCACGGCCATACAATTCCACACTGTATATAATACTGTACGTTGTTCACAGGACAGGATCGCAGTGTTCAGTTTTACATTTCAACTGCATTCTTGTTCATTACGTAATGTTCCAGGACCGAAGTACTGCGTCTCCGTCCCCACGCTCCGAGCCGCCAAGAGCTGTGGTCCTGAGCAATACCTCGAAGTGAAGGCTGAAGGACCAGCTTCTTGGCAGTTGGACTGTGACAATTCCTCGTGTGGTTAGTAATCTTATAAATTCATTCGTTGTCTATTCGTTGGACATATTGATAGTTTCTCGAGTATGTTGCTCGCATATCTATCTATCTATATATACACATCAAAATATAAATGTAAATATATATACATACATACATATATATATACATATATATATATATATATATATATATATATATATATATATATATATATATATATATAATATATATATATATATATATATATATATATATATATATATAATGCATATGTATGTATATATACACATACATACATGTGTGTGTGTATCTATGTGTGTGTGTGTGCATACATTCATACTGTATATATACGTAATTACTGATGTCTTGAAATGGAATCGTCTTCTAGATATTAAAAAACATTTCCCTAATCTGTGGTCTCATTAGCATATAATTATGGCTATTACGTAAAATACCTGCACGATTTTTTACTTTCCTCTCATTTTACGTAAAATACCTGCACGATTTTTTTACTTTCCTCTCATTTTACGTAAAATACCTGCACGATTTTTTTACTTTCCTCTCATATTAAAACTTTGAAGTAGGGACCATCATACATGCATGACTTTTGCACGAAAGAGAATTTCAAAACGAAATGGTTCATTGATGTTTGTTTGTTTGTTTGTTTGTTTGTTTTTTCTCTCCTCTTTTCCTTGATAATAGATTCTATTGATAATTGGTAATTGATAATAGGATAATTGATAATAGATTAATATTAATAATAATATTGATTGATAATGATAATATTGATAATTGATAATAGATTAATATTAATAATAATATTGATAATTGATAATAGATTAATATTAATAATAATATTGATAATTGATAGATTAATATTAATAATAATATTGATAATTTATAATAGATTAATATTAATAATAATATTGATAATTGATAATAGATTAATATTAATAATAATATTGATAATTGATAATAGATTAATATTAATAATAATATAATTGATGATAATGATAATAAGTGATAATATTATATTAATAATAATATTGATAATTGATAATAGATTAATTTAATAATAATATTGATAATTGTAATAGATTAATATTAATAATAATATTGATAATTGATAATAGATTAATATTAATAATAATATTGATAATTGATAATAGATTAATATTAATAATAATATTGATAATTGATAATAGATTAATATTTAATAATATTGATAATTGATAATAGATTAATATTAATAATAATTGATAATTGATAATAGATTAATATTAATAATAATATTGATAATTGATAATAGATTAATATTAATAATATATTGATTGATAATAGATTGATATATTAATAATAATATTGATAATTGATAATAGATTAATATTAATAATAATATTGATAATTGATAATAGATTCTACAGCCTTCGTGTAATAGTACTGCACATCTATAAAACCCGTGGATTCGTTGCCGTGGGTGGAGATGGAAGGAAAAAGTTTGAAAACCATTGGTCTAAACTATAACCCCCTTTTTAATATGGGTCATGGTTATTGTAACTTTTAAAAGTTTCCTATTTTCTATAAGAATGATATATATACACATGAATATATATATATATAATATATATATATATATTATATATATATATATATATATATATATAATATATATTATATATATATATATACACACATAATATATATATATATATATATATTATATATATTATATATAGATAGATAGATAGATAGATAGATAGATATACACATAAAATATATATATATATTATATATATATATATATATATATATATATATATTTATGTATATATATATATATATATATATATATATATACATGAATATATATAAATATATATGTATATGCATATACATATATACATATGTGTGTGCGTGTCTGTTTATGTGTGCGTGCGTATACACCACACACATACACATACACACATACACACGCATATATATGTACGTGTGTGCGTGTTTCTATCTACTTAGACAAGCCGTCTCCGGTACATATTCATGAACTATTAACAAATTACATCCATCCTGTTGAAAAATGAATTATAGACATCATTAACCAAATGAACTCAAATGCAAAGTTATAACTGAGGTATGTTATGTTATTTGAATAACTCAATAACAACCCCAAAATTGCGCCAACCTGTACTTCACACAAGACTTTTAACCCCAACCTGTTACATCCTTCTATCTACCCTTCCTATCCTCATGTTCTATTCTATCCTTCCTATCCTACCCTATCCTTCTATCTAACCGATTCTATCCCTTCTATCCTCCTAACCGATTCTATCCCTTCCTATCCTCATGTTCTAACCGATTCTATCCCTTCCTATCCTCATGTTCTTCCTATCCCTTCCTATCCTCATGTTCTAACCGATTCTATCCCTTCCTATCCTCATGTTCTAACCGATTCTATCCCTTCCTATCCTCCTTCTCGATTCTATCCCTTCCTATCCTCATGTTCCTATCCTCATGTTCTAACCGTTCTATCCCTTCCTATCCTCATGTTCTAACCGATCCCTTCCTATCCTCATGTTCTAACCGATTCTATCCCTTCCTATCCTCATGTTCTAACCGATTCTATCTTCCTATCCTCATGTTCTAACCGATTCTATCCCTTCCTATCCTCTCTAACCCTATCCCTTCCTATCCTTGTTCTAACCGATTCTATCCCTTCTATCCTCCTGTTCTAACCGATTCTATCCTTCCTATCCTCATGTTCTAACCGATTCTATCCCTTCCTATCCTCATCTAACCAATTCTATCCCTTCCTATCCTCATGTTCTATTCTATCCCTTCCTATCCTCATGTTCTACCGATTCTATCCCTTCCTATCCTCATGTTCTAACCGATTCTATCCCTTCCTATCCTCCTGTTCTAACCGATTCTATCCCTTCCTATCCTCATGTTCTAACCGATTCTATCCCTTCCTATCCTCATGTTCTAACCGATTCTATCCCTTCTATCCTCATTTCTAACCGATTCTATCCCTTCCTATCCTCATGTTCTAACCGATTCCTATCCCTTTTCTATCCTTCCTATCCTCATGTTCTAACCGATTCTATTCCTAAACCGATTCTATCCCCTTCCTATCCTCATGTTCTAACCGATTCTATCCTTCCTATCCTCTATTCTATCCTTCCTATCCTCATGTTCTAACCGATTCTTCCTTCCTATCCTCATTCTAACCGATTCTATCCCTTCCTATCCTCATGTTCTAACCGATTCTATCCTTCCTATCCGATTCCTTCCTATCCTCATGTTCTTGTTCTATCCTATCTAACCGATCTATCCTTCCTATCCTCATGTTCTAACCGATTCTATCCCTTCCTATCCTCATGTTCTAACCGATTCTATCCCTTCCTATCCTCATGTTCTAACCGATTCTATCCCTTCCTATCCTCTCTAACCGATTCTATCCCTTCCTATCCTATGTTCTAAATTCCCTTCTATCCTCTGTTCTAACCGATTCTACCTTCCTATCCTCATGTTCTAACCGATTCTATCCTTCCTATCCTCATGTTCTAACCGATTCTATCCCTTCCTATCCTCTTGTTCTAACCGATTCTATCCCTTCCTATCCTCATGTTCTAACCGATTCTATCCCTTCCTATCCTCATGTTCTAACCGATTCTATCCCTTCCTATCCTCATGTTCTAACCGTTCATCCCTTCCTATCCTCATGTTCTAACCGATTCTATCCTTCCTATCCGTATCCTCATGTTCTAACCGATTCTATCCCTTCCTATCCTCATGTTCTAACCGATTCTTCCCTTCCTATCCTCATGTTCTATTCTATCCTTCCTATCCTCATGTTTCTAACCGATTCTATCCCTTCCTATCCTCATGTTCTAACCGATTCTATCCCTTCCTATCCTCATGTTCTAACCGATTTTATCCCTTCCTATCCTCATTCCTATCCCTCCTATCCTCATGTTCTAACCGATTCTATCCCTTCCTATCCTCATGTTCTAACCGATTCTATCCCTTCCTATCCTCATGTTCTAACCGATTCTATCCCTTCCTATCCTCATGTTCTTTCTATCCTTCTATCTCATGTTCTAACCGATTCTATCCCTTCCTATCCTCATGTTCTAACCGATTCTATCCCTTCCTATCCTCATTTTCTAACCGATTCTATCCCTTCCTATCCTCATGTTCTAACCGATTCTATCCCTTCCTATCCTCATGTTCTAACCGATTCTATCCCTTCCTATCCTCCTGTTCTAACCGATTCTATCCCTTCCTATCCTCATGTTCTAACCGATTCTATCCCTTCCTATCCTCATTTTCTAACCGATTCTATCCTTCTATCCTCATGTTCTAACCGATTCTATCCCTTCCTATCCTCATGTTCTAACCTCTATCCCTTCCTATCCTCATGTTCTAACCGATTCTATCCCTTCTATCCTCATGTTCTAACCGATTCTATCCCTTCCTATCCTCATGTTCTAACCGATTCTATATCCTCATGTGTTCTCGCCTTCCTACTAATTCTATCCTATCCCATGTTCTAACCGATTCTATCCCTTCCTCCTCTCTAACCGATTCTATCCCTTCTATCCTCATGTTCTAACCGATTCTCGATTCTATCCTATCCTCATGTTCTAACCGATTCTATCCCTTCCTATCCTCATGTTCTAACCGATTCTATCCCTTCCTATCCTCATGTTCTAACCGATTCTATCCCTTCCTATCCTCATGTTCTAACCGATTCTATTTCCTATCCTCATATTCTATCCTTCCTATCCTCATGTTCTAACCGATTCTATATCCTCATGATTCTATCCCTTCCTATCCTCATGTTCTAACGATTCTATCCCTTCCTATCCTCATGTTCTAACCGATTCCTATCCCCTATCCTCATGTTCTAACCGATTCTATCCCTTCCTATCCTCATGTTCTCGATTCTATCCCTTCCTATCCTCATGTTCTAACCGATTCTATCCCTTCCTATCCTCATGTTCTAACCAATTCTATCCCTTCCTATCCTCATGTTCTAACCGATTCTATCCCTTCCTATCCTCATGTTCTAACCGATTCTATCCCTTCCTATCGTTATGCACCAACATGAAACATCAGCATCATCCTCATGCTACAACATCAACGTCAACATAAACATAATCAACATCATCAATATTATCATCACTGGCATCAACATCATCAATATAAGAATTATCGATATGGGAATAATAGGAAAAACACTGATTATAGTAGTTATAGCGTTGATAACTACAAATATATATATAAACTGATTATAATATTGATGACTATAACAATAACAATAACAATAATCATAATAATAATAATAGCAACAATGATAATAATAATGATGATGATAATGATAACAAAAATGATGATGATGGTGATAATGGTGGTGGTGGTGATGGAAATGATATCGATAATAATAATGATAATGGTAATAACAAAAATAAAAATAATGATAACAACAATAATAATAATGATAATAATGATTACGATAGTAATTATAATAATAATGATTATAATACTACTAATGATAATACTGATATTACTACTAATAATAATGAACCAAATGATAATAATGATAATAGTAATGATCATAAAAATAGTAAAAAAAATATAACAATGATAATAATCACTGTCGGAGTTTCTTATCAGTAAGATCACCTATTTCATTTGAAATCTTGCATAATCAATTGAATTCATTAATCTATTTGAGAAAATATCCCATTTCTGTTTCCTTGTCAGGCGTCACTTGAAAAATCGTGAAAATTTACCTGTCCCTTTAACCACAATACTGACAATAATAATGATAAAAATATTACACGTGTTATCCACAATAACAGCAATTATAAATATATTACACACGTTATCCACAATAACAACAATGATAAATATATTACACAGGTTATCCACAACAACAACAATGATAAATATATTACACAGGTTATCCACAACAACAATGATAAATATATTACACACGTTATCCACAACAACAATGATAAATATATTGCACACGTTATCCACAACAACAATGATAAATATATTACACAGGTTATCCACAACAACATTGATAAATATATTACACACATTATCCACAATAACAACATTGATAAATATATTACACACGTTATCCACAACAACAACAATGATAAATATATTACACGGGTTTTCCACAACAACAACAATGATAAATATATTACACAGGTTATCCACAACAACAACAATGATAAATATATTGCACACGTTATCCATAACAACAGTAATGATAAATATATTACACAGGTTATCCACAACAACAACAATGATAAATATATTACACACACACAATAACAATGATAAATATATTGCACACGTTATCCACAACAACAACAATGATAAATATATTACACAGGTTATCCACAACAACAACAATGATAAAAATATTACACACGTTATCCACAACAATAACAATGATAAATATATCACACACGTTATCCACAATAACAACAATGATAAATATATTACACACGTTTTCCACAACAACAACAAAAATATATTACACAGGTTATCCACAACAACAACAATGATAAATATATTACACACGTTATCCACAACATTGATAAATATATTACACACGTTATCAACAACAACAACAATGATAGATATATTACACAGGTTATCCACAGCAACAACAATGATAAATATATCACACACGTTATCCACAACAACAATGATAAATATATTACACACGTTATCCACAACAATAACAATGATAAATATATTACACAGGTTATCCACACAATAACAATGATAAATATATTACACACGTTATCCACAACAACAACAATGATAAATATATTACACACGTTATCCACAACAACAACAATGATAAATAATTACACACGTTATCCACAACAACATTGATAAATATATTACACACGTTATCCACAACAACAACATTGATAAAAATATTACACACATTATCCACAACAACAACAATGATAAATATATTACACACGTTATCCACAACAACAACAATGATAAATATATTACACACGTTAACAACAACATTGATAAATATATTACACACGTTATCCACAACAACAACATTGATAAAAATATTACACACATTATCCACAACAACAACAATGATAAATATATTACACACGTTATCCACAACAACAACAATGATAAATATATTACACACGTTATCCACAACACAACAACAACAATGATAAATATATTACACACGTTATCCACAACAACAACAATGATAAATATATTACACACGTTATCCACAACAACAACCATATCCACAACAACACAATGTTATCCACAACAACATTGATAAATATATCACACACGTCATCCACAACAACAATGAAATATTACACAGGTTATCCACAATAACAATAAACGTTGACTCTTATCACGCTGCAGGATGTTACACACAGCGGCTGATCTCACTGCGCTTGCCCCTGGGAGAGAGCAGCAGGCTGTCCTGGTGGCCTGGTCAAGCCACGAGCCTGCGAGTGATTGCACCTGGAGTTTGGAGGATGCTTGAGCTGGACGAGTCGGCCAGGTACCGTTGGCATGACATCACTGTCCAGCCTGAATATAATGGTATGTCTCCGTTTTGTTAATTACTGTCCAGTCTGAATATAATGGTATTTCTCTGTCTTGATAGTTACTATGCAGCCTGAATATAACAGTATGGCTCTGTTTTGTTAATCACTGTCCAGCCTGAATATAATGGTATGTCTCCGTTTTGTTAATTACTGTCCAACCTGAATATAATGGTATTTCTCTGTCTTGTTAATTACTGTCCAGCCTGAATATGATGGTATGTCTCCGTTTTATTAATTACTGTCCAGCCTGAATTCAATGGTATGTCTCCGTCTTGTTAATTACTGTCCAGCCTGAATATAATGGTATGTCTCCATTACTGTCCAGCCTGAATTCAATGGTATGTCTCTGTCTTGTTAATTACTGTCCAGCCTGAATATAATGGTATGTCTCTGTCTTGTTAATTACTGTCCAGCCTGAATTCAATGGTATGTCTCTGTCTTGTTAATTACTGTCCAGCCTGATGTATGTCTCCGTTTTGTTAATTACTGTCCAGCCTGAATTCAATGGTATGTCTCTGTCCAGCTGATATAATGGTATGTCTCCGTCTGTTAATTACTGTCCAGCCTGAATAATGGTATGTCTCTGTCTTGATAATTACTGTCCAGCCTGAATTAATGGTATGTCTCCGTTTTGTTAATTACTGTCCAGCCTGAATATAATGGTATGTCTCCGTCTTGTTAATTACTGTCCAGCCTGAATTCAATGGTATGTCTCTGTCTTGTTAATTACTGTCCAGACTGAATATAATGGTATGTCTCCGTTTTGTTAATTACTGTCCAGTCTGAATATAATGGTATTTCTCTGTCTAGTTACTATGCAGCCTGAATATAATTACTTTGTAATTACTGTCCAGCCAAAATATAATGGTATGTCTCCGTTTTGTTAATTACTGTTAATTACTGTCCAGCCTGAATATAATGGCATGCCTCCGTCTTGTTTCAATCCATGAATAAACACACTCATTATATGTTCGTACATTCTGTTACGAATTTGCTTAGCGGTTTTAACTGGCCTTATCGCTGACGGGCAGATGGTTTCACAGAAGTCAAATCAAATTTTGCGTGTGTCGTGGCCTTCTTTTGGTTCTCTGCTTTCCTGAAGTTTTCCGGGCTTCTTCTATCAGTCCCTTTTTGAGATAATGATAATGATAGTGATAACAAAAATTATGATGGTGATAACAACAATAATAATAATGATAATGATGATAAGAAAAATAACAATAATGATAATATAACAATAGTGATAATAAAAAATATGATGATAACAACAATAATAATGATAATGATGATAAGAAAAATAACAATAATGATAACAATAATAATAAAATAGATAATCTGCCACTTCATCGTCATCATGCTTGACCTACAGGCACTTCATGCAGTCTCTCCAGCACCAGTCTTGGGAAGACCCTCGCCTGTAACCTCGAGGTCACGTCTTCGTCAACTATTTACGTTCAGGGCAGCGATTCCAACGGCTGGACACCAAGCTACTGGTCTTTCGGTTGTGCGGGCGTTCCACAGGGTGAGAATGTGCTCATGTACTGAACAGAGGGCGTTCCACAGGGTGAGAATGTGCTCATGTACTGAACAGAGGGCGTTCCAGGGTGAGAATGTGCTCATGTACTGAACAGAGGGCGTTCCACAGGGTGAGAATGTGCTTATGTACTGAACAGCGGGCGTTCCACAGGGTGAGAATGTGCTTCAGTTTTGAACAAGGGGCGTTCCACAGGGTGAGAATGTGCTTATGTACTGAACAGCGGGCGTTCCACAAGGTGAGAATGTGCTTATGTATTGAACAGAGGGCGTTCCACAGGGTGAGAATGTGCTCATGTACTGAACAGAGGGCGTTCCACAGGGTGAGAATGTGCTTATGTACTGAACAGCGGGCGTTCCACAAGGTGAGAATGTGCTTATGTACTGAACAGAGGGCGTTCCACAGGGTGAGAATGTGCTCATATACTGAACAGAGGGCGTTCCACAGGGTGAGAATGTGCTCATGTACTGAACAGAGGGCGTTCCACAGGGTGGAATGTGCTGAACAGAGGGCGTTCCACTGAGAATGCTTCAGTTTTGAACAGAGGGCGTTCCACAGGGTGAGAATGTGCTTGTGAACAGAGGCGTTCCACAGGGTGAGAATGTGCTCATGTACTGAACAGAGGGCGTTCCATGTGCTCATGTACTGAACAGAGGGCGTTTCCACAGGGTGAGAATGTGCTCATGTACTGAACAGAGGGCGTTCCACAGGGTGAGAATGTGCTTATGTACTGAACAGAGGGCGTTCCACAGGGTGAGAATGTGCTGAAGTATTGAACAGAGGGCGTTCCACAGGGTGAGAATGTGCTTCAGTTTTGAACAGAGGGCGTTCCACAGGGTGAGAATGTGCTTCAGTTTTGAACAGAGGGCATTCCACAGGGTGAGAATGTGCTCATGTACTGAACAGAGGGCGTTCCACAGGGTGAGAATGTGCTCATGTACTGAACAGAGGGCGTTCCACAGGGTGAGAATGTGCTCATGTACTGAACAGAGGGCGTTCCACAGGGTGAGAATGTGCTCATGTACTGAACAGAGGGCGTTCCACAGGGTGAGAATGTGCTTATGTACTGAACAGAGGGCGTTCCACAGGGTGAGAATGTGCTTAAGTATTGAACAGAGGGCGTTCCACAGGGTGAGAATGTGCTTATGTACTGAACAGAGGGCGTTCCACAGGGTGAGAATGGGCTCATGTATTGAACAGAGGGCGTTCCACAGGGTGAGAATGTGCTCATGTACTGAACAGAGGGCGTTCCACAGGGTGAGAATGTGCTCATGTACTGAACAGAGGGCGTTCCACAGGGTGGGAATGTGCTCATGTATTGAACAGAGGGCGTTCCACAGGGAGAGAATGTGCTCATGTATTGAACAGAGGGCGTTGCACAGGGTGAGAATGTGCTTATGTACTGAACAGAGGGCGTTCCACAGGGTGAGAATGTGCTCATGTACTGAACAGAGGGCGTTCCAGGGTGAGAACTGCGTTGTTATGTACTGAACAGAGGGCGTTCCACAGGGTGAGAATGTGCTCATGTGAACAGAGGGCGTTCCACAGGGTGAGAATGTGCGTACTGAACAGAGGGCGTTCCACAGGGTGGGAATGTGCTCATGTACTGAACAGAGGGCGTTCCACAGGGTGAGAATGTGCTTCAGTTTTGAACAGAGGGCGTTCCACAGGGTGAGAATGTGCTCATGTACTGAACAGAACTGCATGTATTGAACAGAGGGCGTTCCACAGGGTGAGAATGTGCACATTGATGTGTTCCACAGGTGAGAATGGCTATGTATTGAACAGAGGGCGTTCCACAGGGTGAGAATGTGCTCATGTACTGAACAGAGGGCGTTCCACAGGGTGAGAATGTGCTTATGTATTGAACAGAGGGCGTTCCACAGGGTGAGAATGTGCTTATGTAATGAACAGAGGGCGTTCCACAGGGTGAGAATGTGCTCATGTACTGAACAGAGGGCGTTCCACAGGGTGAGAATTGCGTTCCACAGGGTGAGAATGTGTGTACTGAACAGAGGGCGTTCCACAGGGTGAGAATGTGCTCATGTATTGAACAGAGGGCGTTCCACAGGTGAGAATGTGCTTATGTGAACAGAGGGGCGTTGATGAGAATGTGCTTATGTTTGAACAGGGCGTTCCACAGGGTGAGAATGTGCTCATGTACTGAACAGAGGGCGTTCCACAGGGTGAGAATGTGCTTATGTATTGAACAGAGGGCGTTCCACAGGGTGAGAATGTGCTTATGTATTGAACAGATTATGTGCTTATGTATTGAACAGAGGGCGTTCCACAGGGTGAGAATGTGCTCATGTACTGAACAGAGGGCGTTCCACAGGGTGGGAATGTGCTCATGCACTGAACAGAGGGCGTCCACTGCTCATGTATTTCCACAGGGTGAGAATGTGCTCATGTCTGAACAGAGGGCGTTCCACAGGGTGAGAATGTGCTTATGTACTGAACAGAGGGCGTTCCACAGGGTGAGAATGTGCTTATGTACTGAACAGAAGGCGTTCCACAGGGTGAGAATGTGCTCATGTACTGAACAGAGGGCGTTCCACAGGGTGAGAATGTGCTCATGTACTGAACAGAGGGCGTTCCACAGGGTGAGAATGTGCTCATGTACTGAACAGAGGGCGTTCCACAGGATGAGAATGTGCTCATGTACTGAACAGAGGGCGTTCCACAGGGTGTGAATGTGCTCATGTACTGAACAGAGGGCGTTCCACAGGGTGTGAATGTGCTCATGTATTGAACAGAGGACGTTCCACAGGGTGAGAATGTGCTCATGTATTGAACAGAGGGCGTTCCACAGGGTGAGAATGTGCTCATGTACTGAACAGCGGGCGTTCCACAGGGTGAGAATGTGCTCATGTACTGAACAGATTAGTTTCCGATGTGCTTACACTGCAATGCTGTTTTTTAACTTTGTTGGCAAAGTTTTAAAAAAAAAGTTTTAAAGTTTTAAAAGTTTATCATCATCTAGCTCTGACATTTTTATGGTCAATTAGAGAAAATGCATTTTTTTTTTCTTTCCAGAGTGCTTGAGAACACCGTAGAACTCCACCTGCAAAACTAGCCTCAACGACGAAAAAAGATGAACAATACAGAAAACTCAGTCATTGGGGTGGAAGAATAAGCAAAAATATAGAATACTTTCTCAGAACGAGTGCTAGCGTGTGTGTGTGTGTGTGTGTGTGTGTGTGTGTGGCCGAGCATTATATTGGAGGTTAGCTCTCTATACGCCCAAGATTCTAGCCACGAGGATACCACCCAAGCCATCGCTGATTTCTTTAGCTAATTCAATAAAGAAATATACATACACTGAGTTTTCCTGATCTTTATAGGTTCTCTAACAGTATGCAGTGGGCGCTATGGTGTGGCACTAAAAGCTTCATTATAAAATCCACAATCAGTAAAGATTAAAAGGTGAAACGAGCTATAAAAAAAAAGCAAATAAGAACGGCGGTCATCTGATAAGAAAAAAAAAATATCTTCCCAAAAACTCAACAACAAGAATTAAAAGGAAACGTTAGATATGGTTCTTAAGAATGTAAGAATATACCCCTTTAATGGCACGCAAATTCAGCACGATATCTGCCCAGCATCCAAACACAAGCGCCAAAAACTGTAACAAGTTTTTATACTGCAATAAGTCTTTATTTTTTAAACTGTAATAAAAACTGTCACATAAGGGATGAGGTGTGACAGCCGACCAATCTGCCGTATGTCACCCAGGAACTTTTCCGCGGCCAGGACTGGGGCAGGATGTATGTAGGTCAAGGAAGGGCGAGACTGAAGGCGAAGGGACAGGAACAAGGCTTAGGACAAAGGAAAAGAAATAGAAGAGGCAGTATGAAAAATAAATAAATAAATAAATAAAACCTATCATCAGATAATTATGGAAGCTCGGGTCTGGGCAGTTTTGAAGGAAAGTCGTGAATTATAAGGCAAAGATTCTGAATAGAAAAGTTACTATAGTGAGAAAAGAATGAGACAGTATAGAATGAGAGGATAAGAGTAAAGAACAGCTCAAGTAACACAAGGAAAAGAATGAGCGCGATAAGCATACAGTTCAAAGAAAACACGAGTTAACTAGAAATATTTAACACAGGCCGGGCCGGGCGAAGCATGGCACCGCAAATCTAACTGAACTGAACTGAACTCTCTTGTCTTTATTTCAGCCGAAGATAGAATCGAAACCGGTCAAATACACACACCTCTTGTATTGTGAAGATATCCTTTCTCATTCATATCTTTTCTACATTTGTCAACATGAATACGGTTCATATATACATACATACATACATACATACATACATATATATATATATATATATATTATATATATATATATATATATATATATATATATATATATATGAATACACACGCACACACTTATATAGATAAACATACACAAACATAGACAAACACAGACACACGCAAATATGTACACACTGTACATACACATGTGTGTATATATATATATATATATATATATATATATATATAATATATATATGTGTGTGTGTGTGTGTGTGTGTGTGTGTGTGTGTGTGTGTGTGTGTGTGTGTGTGTGTGTGTGTGTGCCATCTAGGGCCTGTGTGCATTTTGCCCGCGTTCACCTGACCTTGAGCAATGACATTGCCTCGCTCGTGATTGGCTGTCACACCACGTAGGGAAATCACTCGTCTCGAGTCTTGTCAAATATTTCCTTTTCAATACTCTCTCCTCCCTCTCCCACTCTCATTTCCTCCTTTACTCCGTATTATGCTCCTCTTGTCAGGGCAGTTCACCTCCCTTCCCTGTCCGCGGCTCGCTCTCTGGGTACATCGCTCTTGGTGTCGAAACATTTCTGTGATTTGTGGTGAAATCGTGCCACGTGACCTTGTGCTGTGGTGATAGTGGCAGCGAAGTGACCGAGTGTAGAGATACTACAGTGATTTTTATATGTAACAGTGTGGTGGCATTACAGTGACCGTGTTTGTAACTTTCATTGTGTCGTACTATTATATATATATATATATATATATATATATATATATATATATATATATATTATATATATATATATTGCATTTGTGTTATTGTGCTCTGTTATTTTCCTGTGTACTCGGTTTCGTGAATTGAATAAATGATTGATAATCTTGCTTGTGGTTTTTCATCTGTTTGATTCCTTTCCGGAAAACCTGACTGGGAAGAAAAGTATCTTTTCTTCTTTTTATTTCGTTTTGTTACATTCTCGCACAGCTTATTGTGCGAATTAGAAGGTTGAGGGTTCGGAGTTTTGGTCGAATCCTTTGAGCGGATCAGTTGTGATTCGCCAGCCTGGGGTTATTACACTGGCTGTTTACACTTACTCTTGGCATTTTAGGCATGATGGTTTTCGTTTATTTTCTTTATTAAGTTATAGTGACAATCATTAGGTATTATTATTTTTTGTTGAATCAAGAAAATGAATTATTGTTCATGTAATGTTCTCGGATATTTTGTTTACTGAATAGGACCCTACACTTGAGAAGGGCCGGTTTTGAGAGGCGTCCCCAAAACATCTGATCCATGTCTGGCTAATCGTGGCGTCATCCCTTCATATTTCTCATGGTATTTGGTGCTACATCGATTACAATGTTTACCGTAAATCGTAAGTAAACTAGGATCATCTGACAGTAGAGGGACGCTAATTTTCTTTATATAACGCCTGTCCGAGTTGATTTTATTCTACTTTTAATTTGTATTTTCATTTTTGTTTGGTTGGATATTGTACTTTTTTATTACTTCTCATTGATATAATTTTGTTAATTCTGCTTGTCATATTAACTGTACTGTTACACCTTTTTCTTTGTACGTGACGTATGCCATAAGTTAGACTTTGGTTAATTTTAGTAACATTCCATATTGCTGTTAATGTAGCCTCATTTTTGTGTTTTTATTTTGTCGGTTTGGTCTCTTCACCAGCCTTCCATTATTGTTTGTAAAGATTATTTTGTAACCTCTTTATTAGTCATTCTTTTGGTTTTAATTATTTTGTTTAATTTTCTCACCATTTTTGTTATATTAATTTTTCATAATCATTTACTGTCCATATTTCTTGTCATGATATTACCGTCAATGATATCAATTTGTGTGTAAGGTAGTCTTGTGTCTGGTTTTCTAACGAACAATCCTATGATTATTAACTGTTTTAAGAACCTGACACTCACACTGACAATATATATATATATATATATATATATATATGTATGCATATATACATATGTATGTATATACACACATATATATATAAATATGTATATTAATATATACAGACATACATGAGTATGTGTGTGCGTGTGTTCATATGTATGTTTCTGGTTGCGGTGTGTGCGTAATTATGCATATGATTATGGAGAGGTTGAATCATGTGATTTTCGAAAAAAAATATATATATATATATAGAGAGAGAGAGAGAGATAATTACTCTGAGGCAATAATCATGTACACCTGGCTCAATGAACGGAAAATGGAGCAGGAAAGCGGATACCAAAGGAATGAATGCGATGGAAAAAAAATCACAAAAAAAAAAAGCAGTTGCGCACTTTTTCTCTGGAACGTCTACTCGTGCTCTCTATATGAATCCCTCTCTCTAAAATACTTTATGCTAGATACAAATAACTGCTAGTAATAAAGAACGTATATTCCCCTCTCTATATGCGTCTCTCTGAAATACTTTATGCTAGATACAAATAACTGCTAGTAATAAAGAACGTATATTTCCCCTCTCTATATGCGTCTCGCTTTGTGAAATACTTTATGCTAGATACAATAACTGCTAGTAATATAAAGAACGTATATTCCCCCTCTCTATATGCGTCTCTCTTTGTGAAATACTTTATGCTAGATACAAATAACTGCTAGTAATAAAAATATTCCCCCTCTCTATATGCGTGTCTCTCTCTATATGACTTCATGGCAGAGACCGAATCGACACAGATGCTAAGGACGCGATGTTTATTCATACCTGCTTTCAAAACTCGTGTCTGCTACAAGTATCTGTCTCCGAGTGCACAGGAAGATTAATGGAGGATGGAGTTAATTGGACATTAAGCCCTTTTTTCCATGATGTGTCATTTCAGTTTACCAACTCGTCGTTTAATCTCGCATGGTAATAATAGTGTTGCTACT